TCCGGGGAGCGCGCGCGCCCGGATGCGGCCGGCACCTGGCCGCGGTGCCACGGTGGCGAGGGGGAAGGAAGGAGGTCACAGCGACTGTCCCTTGGGCAGGAGGGCGCGGGATGGGGCCGAGAAGGGCGCCCAGGACGCCGGTAGCTGCGCAGACAGCGGCGGTGGGCTTCCAGGGACCTGGGGACCCTGAGCGCAGGAGCGTGGCGACAGCCCGGCGCACGGGCAAATCCGATGCGCGGACCCTGGGTCCGCTTCGAGGGGACACCAGTGTCTGCGCTGCGCCTTCTGGGGATTGTGGGTCCCCATCACTTCGTAGCTCAAGATCGATGCCCCGAATTTTCCTGCGGGGCGGTAGCGGGACCCAGTAACTCCTGGGAGGCGCTGACCCCCCCTCCCCCCGCAACCTGGCTTACCGCGAGGATGGCTCTTGGGTTATTTTTGTTCCGACTGACCAAGTTAGGTGGTCTGGGTTCAGGCTGCCCTCTTTTGGCGTTTTGGGGCTACGGGACCAAAAAAAAAATCCAGGCAGTTTCATCTTGGGATCCTAAGGTCCAATCAAAACGTAGAAATTTGCCCTTTCTCCAGGTTGAGGGTCCAGTTTAAAGGATCTAGTGCTAGCCTGGGCCTAGGTCCCCAAAAAACTGTTTTTTCCAAATAGTTGCAGGGTTCCACGTGTCCAAAAGGACTCTTGAGTATGATTTGGTCAGGGGCGGAGTGCCGGATTCTTCTCTGAGCAATCCAGATTTGAATTTCTGACTTTTCGTCATTTCTTTCCTGGTAGCCTCCAGCCATGGAGATCCGCACTTGCCTGCTGGGGGTGGTGATGGTAGGAGCTGGCCTGAGGGTGGTCACTGGCTTCTGCTCCTGTTGAGGCTCAGCTTCTAGCTTTAGGATGACTAAGGTCCGACTGAATGGCTTATCTACAGTATGTACATTTCTATAATCATTACCTCTTAAAACGTAGGCCCTCACCTAAACACGGAAAGGAACTTTCTTTGAGAGAGCACCTGAAGATTGTCCAGAATCAAACTTTCAGAGGCTGGGGTTATAAACCACGTATTCCCGTTTTATTGGCACCTCTGGTGAGTTTTGTTTTGTTTTGTTCAGTTGTATAATGGTCAGGAGGTGGACTAGTAGACTAAAATACTTTCTAGATATGATGAGGAGGATTGAACAGTGGAGAGGGAAGACTCTGGGTCTTGTCTCTTCTTCTGGAAGGAACACACATTCCTACCTACTCTGGCTTTTGTTACTCACCTAGCCTCTGGGATTATGGAAGAGGACAAGCTGAGGACCACTATTGGCTGAGAAGCCTACTGACAAAGGGTGGGGCAGGGGGTGATTGTATTATTGTCCTTGTCATTTAGGCAAGAAGAGGAGTCAGAATTATGGGCTCCTTGAGGTACAGAGCCCCATGATTCCCAGAATACAGATCCAAAGCCAGAGTTGCTGAGAAGAGCAGGTCTGATGCACATGGCTGTGCTCTGAGTGGGCCACTTTGATGGGCACCATAGATGAACAGTGAGGTGGTTACCTGAGATTCTTGCTGCTAGGGGCAGTGAAGTTCAGGTAGTGCATGGTGACAGGAAGGAGAGTTTAGGACTTCCGAGTCAGATGTCTACGTGTCCAAATCCTGGCCTCCTTACTCTAGTGAGAAATTTCATAACCCCTTGGGTCTGTTTTAACTGTCTCATGGGCTGTTGTGATTGTGCCTAGAATTTGTCATCCTTGTGGGTGGAATGGGTGCTTAACCATTGTATTTAATTCTGGAAATAGTTCTTCAAATAAGAGATACTCCTCCTCTAAGCTAATAATGGCCAGGAAAGGGGTGTGTGTGTGCGTGCGTGCGTGCGTGCGTGCGTGCGTGCGTGCGTGCGTGCGTGTGTGTGTGTGTACTGCCTATGTATCCATCACAGACAGGACTATAGTCCTGTTTTCAAAGGCTTCCTCCTATCTTCCCCTTTCCTTACCTGTGTGTGTGTGTACTGCCTATGTATCCATCACAGACAGGACTATAGTCCTGTTTTTAAAGGCTTCCTATCTTCCCCTTTCCTTACCTGGTCATATCCAGATGAACCTCAACCCACATCCAATATCCATACAGTCTTGGGATCTCCTTAGTGCCATCTGGCATCAGGAACTCCTCTCCTCACTGTGCCAGAGCACTTCCACCTGGTCACATTTGATGCCGGAAGAAAGGAATGCCCAGCCCTTTGCAAACCACAGACCTGGTAGCATGTTACCTGGATGGAGTTTATTTGAAAAACTGAAAGATACTGGATCCAGAGAGGTTAATTGGTGTCCTCACATAACGTTGCTCCCTAGTGGCCAATTGGTAGGTGAATACCAAAGAAGTGTTTATTTTGATTCCTAAGTATGGAAAAGTTGCTGATCGTACTTGTCTTTTTCTTGATACCTTGAAGAGCAGGTGACAATTGTCTCTGTGTATTGAGGGAAAGGGAGGTGGATTTTGCTTTTGTCACAGGAGTTTCTTCTGGAGCATCTCCTACTTCCTCTTTCAGACTCCAGAGATGGGAGGATGAGAAGTGATCACAGAACAGTCATGTTATGTCTGTCAACCTCCCTTCCACCTCTGTCCCAACAACACACACTAGATTCTATAGAGGGCCCTCTCTGACCTCCAGGTTGGCGGCTGTCGGAATGCCAAGAGATAAAGAGTCCAGAGTCTGCTCAGTTGGGACTGCTGCCAGCCCAGGGCCTCTTGCCTACAAAGGGCAGTGGCACCACAATGGCTCCAAGCCCCAACAGCCATCTCACCTTCCAGATGTGCCTCTCGTTGGGCCCAGATGAGATGGGGAGGCAGAGCCCCCTGCCCCCTGGTCCAGATTTCTGGACCAGGCCAGGAACCTGCCATGTAAGATGAGACAGTCACAGAATCGATCTGTCAAGAGAACATGCTCAGTCTTGGGATACCAAATTCCCTATCTTGGCAACCAGAGACCTGACTGTTGTACAGCCTCCTGACCTGCAGCAGCAGGCCCTGGAGAGTTCTGGGGTTTGTGTGACAGAGTCCCTAGTGGCTCTCAGAGCACTCAATATTCATACTTAATAAAATATCCATTAAAAGTTGGGAATTAGCTGGGTGCTGGTGGCTCACACCTGTAATCCTAGCTACTCAGGAGGATGAAATCTGAGGATTGTGAGCAGCCTGGGCAGGAAAGTCCATGAGACTCTTATCTCTAATAAACCACCAGAAAATTGAAAGTTGCGCTGTGGCTCAAGTGGTAGAGCACTAGCCTTGACCTGAAGAGCTTAGGGACAGTGCACTTTCCAGAGTTCAAACCCCACAACCAAAAAAAAAAAAAAAAAAAGTGGGGAATTAAAGGGATGGAGATGTAGCTCAACAAGGTAGCTCTTGCCTGGCATGCACAGGGCCCTGAGTTTCATCTGTAGTACCAAAAAAAAAAAAACAACAAAAAAAACCCAACAACAACAACCATGCTTTAAGTAATCTGTTTTCTCTTAAAATTATATCTTTGTTTTATTCACGGAGACTTTTTTTTAAGGTGGTATTGGGGATCAAACTCAGAGCCTAGAGCATGCATGCTGGGTAATCAAGGACTGTGCCACCAAGCTACATCCTGGTCCCTTCTCTGAGATTTGTGGTTTAGGGTCAAGGCCTTTTCTTTGTAGCTTTAGGTCCGATAAGTAGACTTGAGATTGTACCAAAAAATCACGCTTAGGAATAGCCCCTGTAATTCTATTGCTTCCCTTCTTCCTCCTTCCCTTTGTTTAGTCTGGATCTGCCGATCTTTCCATATGGATTCATGGAATGTTTTTGCTGTTCTCTGTTATGGCTGCTTAGTGTTCCACACCATGGAGTACTCTGTTTCTTAAAATGTATTTCCCTCAAGTTAGGTTTTTCCATTATGTACCAGATTTCAATGAATAACATTGTGCAAGTGGTGTTTCCTACGTGTATGATTCTGGAATTCTATGAAATGGGATTGCTGGGTAAAAGTTTAGCTGTATCTGTTTAACTAGTTTTTCTTTTTTTGTTTTTTGTACCAGTCCTGGGCCTTGAACTCAGGGCCTGGACTCTGTCCCTGGGCTATTTTTGCTTAAAACTAATGTTTTACCACTTGAGACACAGCTCTACTTGAGATTAGTAGTTTATTGGAGATAAGAGTCTCATAGACTTTCCTTCCCAGACTGGCTTTGAACTACAATCCTCAAATCTTAGCTTCCAGAATAGCTAGGATTACACTGGTGCCTTTTAGCTTTTTATTTAAAAAAATATTAGAGCTTAAAACAGTTGAACCATATTTACAATCCCACTTTTATGCACACACCTTATTTAATTGCTGCCCCCTTTCTTTGAGACAGGATCTGTTGCTGTGCTGGATTCCTGTGGCTCACGCCTGTATTCCTAGCTACTCAGGATGCTAAGATCTGAGAATCATGGTTTGAAGCCAGCCGGAGCAGGAAAATCTGTGAGACTTTTATCTCCAATTAACCCCCAGAAAACCAGAAGTGGTGCTGTGGCTCAAAGTGGTAGGGCGCTAGCTTTGAGCGATAAAGCTCAGAGACAATGTTGTCATGCCCCACAACCAACCAAAAAAAACACACACACACAAAAGAAAAAAAGATCTCTTGCTATATATAGCCTTCTATTCAAGATTCTCCTGCTTCTGTCTCCTGAATGCCGGGATTTCAGGCAATGGCTACCACACTATGTTCTAGTTGTAGTTAATTTTTTTGTTCTGATACTGGAGCTTGAACTCAGGTTGTTGATGCTCTTCTTTCTTCAAGTGTTCTATTGCTTGAGCCACATCTCAATTCTGGCATTTTGTTGGTTAATTGGAGATGGAGGCTCACAGATATTTCTGCTTGGGCTGGTTTCAAATCTTGATCCTTAGACCTTAACCTCTATTAAATAACTAGGAATGGGCTGGGAATGTGGCTTAGTAATAGAGTGCTTAGTAGTAGAGTAGTAGTAGAATGCATGAAGCCCTGGTTCGATTCCTCAGTACCACATACACAGAAATAGCTGGAAGTGCTACAGTAGCTCAAATGGTAGAGTGCTAGCCTTGAGCAAAAGAAGCTCAGAGGCAGTGCTCAGGCCCTGAGTTCAAGCCCCAGAACTGGCAAAAATAAATAAATAGCTAGGATTACTGTATAGGTGTGACCCACTGGCACCCAGCCTTTTATTTTAAATTGAGGTGTTCTAAAGAGTTGCAAGAGTAGATTCTTTATGCTGTAGTACAGTTATCAAGAGCAGGAAATCAACGTTGGCATGGTGTATTATAAGTTGTAGACCTTTAAAAAAAATGTAACAAATATCATTCCTGATGTTTTTTTTCTGGTCTAGGATCTGACCTGCCACCCTTTAATTCATTTAGTTGAGATTTTTTTCTTTATATCTCCTCTACTCTGTAGCACACAGGTCTTTGCTCTTATTAGAATGTGGTCATGGATTCTAAGCAAAAACATAAGCATAATGTTACATCCTTTTCAGAGGATCATAAAGAGGTAGTCATGTCCGGCATTTAGGTGAGCGTGTCTTCTGAGGTTTAAACCGGGTCCTTGTGCTGAGCTACACTCTCAACCATTTCCGTCTTTCTGCTGTTGATGTTTACCTGACCACTTGGTGTCTACTGCATCTTCTCACTGGAAAAGTTATTATCTTCCTCCCTCTGTAGATTGCAATCCTATTTCTCCTTGTACTTTTCCCCTCTAATTTTAGCATCCATCTGTGGATCTTAGTTGCAACAACAATTTCTGAGTTGTTTGCCTAATGAGTCTCAATTTCCCTCTTTCCTCTTAGGTTTATTATTTCTGTTGTCAGGAAGAGCTGGCCTTTCTTTCTCATTTATATCAGGTTTTGTTCTGTGGAATACAACTCTATGATCATTATTTATCACTCAAATTGTTCCAGCTTTAACCTTCTTTGGGGTACCTGGAATGGAACCCAGGGCTTCACATATACTGAACCCAGCTTCGGCCATTTTAAGATTTCCTTAGTTCTGGCCTGTGTTCTTTGACAAGCACTATGTTCTCGATATTTTATTTTATTTTTTTTGTGTTATAGTACATTAAGATATTCCTGTGAGCTTTTCTT